TTGCATACTGGTGAAAACTTCACCAAGTATGGGCAGAACCAAAGATCAACCAATATAGGATGAGCATGTATACAGCGGAAGTCTGAGAAATGGACTGACTCACATTGACTGAACTTACCCCAAACATCACTCAACACACAAGGAATCATGAGATGGTGGGGTCTGAAGCCATACATAGACGATGCTTCAGGCCCCGTACAAGCATACACAGATGAATGGTGGGAGGAGAGACGATGGAGGTGGGAGATATGGGCAGCGCCAGATGTCACCGGGATATAATCCAGAAAATCACCGATATGGTAGCCCAAAATGTCACCGAACAAAATCAGAATGTCGTAGACATAAGTCACCAATGTCGGAGGTACAGAATCCTGATGTAACCGATGCCCGATCTGTGATGTCGCCAGGTAGCACTCCCAACTATCCCCAATGTCTCGAATCCAGCAAGTATCACAGCCTCCTACCACCGAAGTCCAACCACTGATCCCTGTCCAACTCGTATCAATAGTCTCCAGTCTGAAGAAGAAGAAGAAGAAAAAGTATGAAGTCTGAAGAAGAAGAAGAAGCAGAAGAAGTCTGAGGAAGAAGAAGAAGACTGAGAGGGGAGGCAGAGAGTCGGGGGAGATGGCGAGTAGCCTCAGGCCTAACCTGCGTCTGCAAGATGGCGCCTTGGCTGATGCGGGAGCTGGGCTGAGCCGCTGGGAGCTATGGCGCTCACGGTACTCTAGGTAAGTCTCCCTCCTCGCGTCCCTTGGCAGCAGTGCACTAAACTTAGCGCTGCAGCTCCAACCGCTGCGCTGAACAGGAACAACGCAGCTTGGTACCTCCTGCCGTACTGCCTCTCCAACCTGCTTGAATGGCCGCTGGACTGGCCTAAGTACAGGTCGGTGGCCGTTCGGCCTCAATGCTGCCTCAACGTGCCTTTATCTGAATCGTCAAACTTGACGATTCAGATCAGAACGGCGGGCGGCAGCCTCAAGGGCGCCGCCAGGCCCAACAGTAATGTCGTTCGGGCCCGTACCTGGTCTGCTGCGGGAAGGCCAACCGGTGCCTCAACGCGGCCTACCGGGAGAAAGGTCCGGCCTTTAGCTGGGCCGGCCTAAGTACCCCTTAGCCTAGTGGTCGGGTCCGAAAGCGACCCCTGTGGCATCAGTATGTAGCAATAGCCGTCCCCAACATCCCCGTACACTCCCCCATACACCCCCCCAACACCCCCCAACACCCCCATACC